TTAAATGAGCCTGCTATTGATGTGAGGCAAGTTGAACACAAGTTGGATATTTTGGAGAATATTATGGATAATAAAGATATGGAAGAAGAAAGAGAGATGGATAGCTTCCTGGATCTTAAAGAAAAAGAATCTTATGTTGAACTTACAGCTACTTTGGATCAGCCTAATGATATTGTTTTAATCACTGAGACAAAGAGAACTTATTGAAATGGTTCCTGAAAGAAAAAGACAAAGAGAAAATAATAAAGATTCAATTTGTGGGGCACTGTTTGTTAGGTTTAAAGAATGAACTCTCTAAAAGTAAACAGAACTTGGATCAGTCCAATGGTAACACTATCTTGGATCTACAAAAAGAAGGTCTTAAACTACTAAAAGATAATGTATTGAAGTTGCTCCTAAAAGAAGAAAACAAGGAGAAATAATAAAGACTCAATATGTGTAGTATTATCTGTTAGGATTAAAGAATGAACCTCTTAAAAGTGAAGTGTATAAAGTAAATCTGTTTGATTATGGTTAAAACATAGGCTGTGGTTTCTGATAGATTGATGGTAATTTTTGGGGACCAGAACTGTATGACGATGTTATTAAGATTATTGTTGCTTAATGATGATGATTATATTAATTAATTATTATTATATTAATAATTATTAATTAATTAACAATTGATTATTATAATTATTGTTATAATTATTACGGTTATTGTTGCTTAATTTTAATGTAAAAATGAATATAGGTAGTGACTCCTGATAGTTATTAGAGGGGTTTCTTGTTGATTAGGACTGAATGGGGAAGTTACTAGGACTATATAAGGGAATGTTGGGAAATACGAATGACATGAAAGTGCTTTCTATTATCTTTAGGAAGGGATGATGGTATATTATAATACTAGTGAGATTTCTACATGCACATAGATGACAAAAACACACAGGTATTTAGGATTGGACATTAATGGTAGTGGTGGAGACAGTGACATAAAATATTGAAATTTAAAAAACGGGTGGGTTAGCCTTGTTTCTGTTTGGAAATTGCTACTGTTTTTCTTTTTTTCTTTTTGCTTGGGATTGTAAAATGCCATGTTGACTTGGGTTTTTGATAATTACCAGATTTCAGGCTTAGAGAAGTATTTTGTATTAATTATATTTTTAGAGTTAAAGATGTATGTATTCTATATTTGTATCTGCAACAAAAAAAGTCAGAAGTCACCTATTCTTTCCCTTTCTTTTCTTTTTCTTTTTTGCACTTTATTTTCTTTTTTCTTTTTTTTCCTGAACTTTTCCTTCTCTTTGTTTTTTTCTGTTTCCTTATATTTTATTCTTTATTGAAAATTAATAAAGTTTCTTTAAAAAAAAAGATGGGGCATTGCAAAGCCCACTCTATCATTAGATAGAATCAGGCAACTTTTTCAAACAATTGATTTGGGATATCATAACAGAGTACAAATAGACATTGAATTTATTGTGTTTTTACTACTAGGGAGGGGGAAAAGTGCTTATGGGATTTTCTGCTTTGGATACCATGCTGTTTGTTTCAGAGGATGCCACTACAATCAAATGTATTCCACACTGTATGTTTTCATCTCTCTTACTGCATGTTTGTGGGGGGTGGGGTGAAAAAGAAGAGAGATTATATCCAAGCCTAGTTGAAACATCATTATAGGCATGGACAGAAAGTATAGGTTTAAGCATTGGGGAGGGGGGCAGAAAAATGGAGATAAACAAACATTCATTGTTTCTCTGTGCAACACCTGCAGCATAAAAGTTCTTGAGCACAGGGATTTTAGGAAGCAGGCAAAGATCCTAGCTATCTGCATGTGTGTAAAAATACTACTTTCCTCTAAATTAGAAAATATTTTGCTCCACACTTGGATACTTCCAGGGTGTAAGGATACTTAATTGGAGTAATCATAGATTATCAGGATATAAAAAGCCTTATGTCTTTGTGGTCACTCCCTTTATGGGCTCAGCTCCAATACTTATTAAATCAATTCCTAAGAAATATGATACAGAAAACTGTGATTGGAACAGTACTTACAAAGCAGAATATGTAATCAAGTTTTGTTGGTTTAGACATCATGGGAAATAGTCAACAATTCATGATATCAACACAAACTAGGACACACAAAGGCATGATGGAAGAGAAAAAGCTAAGAGGATGTATACTAGCATAGTTATTGTTTCCCATCTGATAAACTTATAAGGTCAGCCAACTTCGGTCCAGCAGAAGAGGCAGGTTGCAGCCCCCACCGGTCAGGGAACTTCGATTGGTGGGGTCTAGGCAGAGAGCCTTTTCTGCTGTAGTGCCCGCCCTATGGAACATCCT